GTCTTGTGCGGCCCCATGGAGAGTTCCTCATCAAAGATGGTTATTTGTTTCGTGGAAATCAATTGTGCATTCCGAAATGCAGCCTTCGAGAGACCCTCATTGAAGAAGTGCATGGAGGTGGACTTGCTGGTCACTTTGGCATAGAGAAGACCTACATGCTTATGCGAGAACACTACCATTGGCCAAAGATGGAACGAGATGTGGAGCACTACATCAAACGGTGCGCTGTTTGCCAAACTGCCAAGAGCCACTCATTAGCCCAAGGAAAATATCTTCCCCTCCCCATCCCCATGGCACCATGGGAAGATATTAGCCTCGACTTCATCACGGGGCTGCCTAGAACACAACGAGGGAAGGACTCAATCATGGTCGTGGTAGATCGGTTTTCAAAGATGGCCCATTTCGTTCCATGTCTAACCACACATGATGCTTCACAAATCGCTGATCTTTATTTCCGCGAGATTGTCAAGTTACATGGAATTCCCGGAAGCATGGTATCAGATCGAGATAGCAAATTCCTTAGCCATTTTTGGATGACACTTTGGAGAAAGATGGGAACCAAGCTCAAGTTTAGAACCTCTCACCACCCTCAAACCGACGGTCAAACAGAAGTGACCAACCGAACTCTCGGTACGCTGCTACGGGTGCTCATCAAGAGGAATATAAAGCAATGGGAAGAACTACTGCCCCATGCAGAGTTTGCATATAACCGGACACCTAGAAAAACAACCGGATTTTCTCCATTCATGGTTGTTTACGGCTCAAACCCCCTTACCCCACTTGAACTTGATCCTATTATGATAAAGCAGAAATACAGTGCGAAAGCCGAGGAACGAGCTAAATAGATTCAAGACCTTCACGCCAAGGTACGAGAGAAGATTGAAGCCACCAATGAAAGAGTGAGTGCGCGCATCAACAAGAGAAGGAAGTCTGCAGAATTCAAACCCGGAGACTTAGTTTGGATTCACCTCAGAAAAGAGCGTTTCCCCACGAAACGCAAATCCAAGCTACTGCCCCGAGCGGACGGTCCCTTTGAAGTACTATAAAAGATCAATGACAACGCTTACAAGATCAACCTGCCCGGAGAATATGGAGTCTCCGCCACGTTCAACATTGCCGACCTCAGTCCCTACTTTGAGCCAGAAGATATTCCGAGTTTGAGGTCAAACTCTTTTGAAGAAGGGGAGGATGATATACCCCGGGATGAACCTTCACACATGCCACTAGTATTAAAAGAAATCAAGTGTTTAATGTCTAGGTTTTATGATCCATTTTGGGTTGAACTCATTGATCCATCCCACACCAAAACCCAAACCATGACCTATCTCTCCCAAAACCCAACCTAGGCCGAAATGCCTACAAGCCCAACCCACTCCCACATATCCAAAGTATTTTTACTACTCAAATAAAGCCCTTTTCCTCTCCCTTGAAGCCCTGGCCAAAATTGAAAGGAAAAGTACAACCCAAAATAATGTGAGTGTTGTTTT